CGAAAGAATGTGCGTTACACACCAGTATTGAGCCACAACTTGCAAAATTTTGATGCGTATCTTTTTTGTTTAGCTCCGATTGAACGTGGGCCAATAAAAAACATTCATGTTATACCTGAAAGCGATAAAAAAAAACAATTCGCTAAGCATTGGTATTTAAGTGACACCTAAAATCGTGCAAATGGTGTTCAGCAAAACGTTCACAAGTTTTTGAGACTTACTGGTTCCTAAATTATTCTTTACAAACACGTTTTTATATAGTATCTTCATAGTGAGTTTAAAAAGATATTGCAGAAGTTGCATAGCAAGAAAAATTACATTGTGCTCTACAATCTTTTGCTGCTATACTATCTCTTGCTGTTGACAATCACAAAATTGCAAAAAGTTCATAAAAATTATTCAAGAGTTGTGGTTAGAGTTTTATATAACATTAAACATAGACTAAAGAGAATCAGCCATGCACAACTTTGACGAAGCGTTGTAGAAGCTATTTAACGCTTCGGCGTATGGAAAACACGCGAGTCGAAGCTGAAATGAATTAAAGTTGTTTTTGTGCGTAATGCTGAAGAAGCCATATAACTCATCTCGGATTCAACATTCAAGAGTTATAAAGTTTTGGCGAAAACACGGCAGCATTAATTTTAGCGCCTCCAAATATTGATAGAAACGTTCCAACAGTTGTGGGCACATGCGTGTTTGAACTTTGCTTGAAAAAATATCGAAAATTACCAGACTCATTTACGATAACATGAAACCAAACTTTTGGCGTCGATTTCTTTATTTTGACAGTGATAGTTTCGTTTTTGCGATACAAACCGATAAAATACTGATTTGTATGAGATTTTGAAGAACAAATCCGAAAAAAAAAAACGAATTTTATTTTTTTATCCCAAAAACAATTACCTGTTCAGCATAAAAAACAAAGTAATTGTGCTGAAATACAAACAAAGATTATCCTATCATCGATTTCTAATTTCTACGATTTGGAGCCAATTTGGTATTAATTTGTCTCATAAAGCAATTTTTTTGAAAAAGTTTTCCAAATTTTTGAAAAAAAAGTTTTGTTTTTTGTTAAAAGTAAAAAGTTTTGGAAAAAACTTTTTTCGGGAAAATTGGAAAAACGTCATATTTAAACTTGTTCAGATAAACACAAGCCCACAGTTAAGAGCAATACAAAGATAACTCAAAGAATTTTATCGAAAATTTAAAATAATGAAAAACGCTTGAACATATTACGAGAAACACTTCTTGAAACTGTAACTATGAATAAAATAGCTCTTTCGACTTTCGACGACAATTGTAATATTCTAGAAGATAGTGAAACTACGCTGCCTTACGGATTTTGTAGAGGTTTGATTATAGATTGTTACTTGATGGGGGCACAGTCAATGATAATTTCAACTTGCCATCTGCAATGATTTTGATTTGTGGATTGCACACTTTGAAAAAACTGATGTTCCACTGAAATGGATCATGAAGATATGCTAGAGAAAGCGTAACAGCAATTGGATTCAACTAAAGAGGGGTGGGAAATTCAGCATACATAAAATTGTCAAGATAATTTTGTATCCCACAGCACAGACTCTCCCCAACGGCATCAATCAGTATTCGACTTGTTGGATGCTGCAGAAGACCTGACCAAAACCTGATCATGGGGTTGCTATAGTTTGTCGGAAAACAGTGATGACACCGATGCATTGCTGACTTGTGAGCTGTCATATCTTCCGATTATTCCGAATCCTCAGACAATTTTTTTCTAAATTGAGATGACAGAAATATTCACCACCGCAAGCAAAAAACTCGCTGAGTTAACAAATAAAACTAAGACAAACGTATTATTTGATTTTGTTTGTAAAAATTGAAACATTGTTTACCCTCCTGGACAATCCGGTTGGCAATTTTTGCAGTTAATTGTGAGAGTTACAAAATTTTTGTATCTAACCCGTACGCAAAAGCTCTTGTATTCATTCCGTGGATTTTGTATTCCACCAATTTTGCTGTTTAGTTTTTTAAACTAGAATTTATGGTTATTTTACTTCCATTTCAATTTTTGTGAAGAATAATTGGTTTCAAATATGCATTTTTACTCAAACGTTTTTATCCTATTATTGGAGTGAGAATTTTCATTGTCAGTATAAACCCTTGAAAAGAAGATAGTAACGTTAAAATCTGAATCCAATAATAGGATAACCAGTAGTGAGCCCAGTTAAAATCTGAATCCAATAGACTGAACCAAAGCTTGGCTTGTATCAAACCAATCTTACCTTTTTTTCAATTAGAGATAGATTGGTTATCTTTCTGTATTTCGTTTTAGTTTTTTGTGTTTTTCAACGAAGTTTTTTCTCAATTTGTCTCCCGGCAGTAACGTTCAATCTCAGTACAACGTTCAAACAGAGTTTCCCAAAAATAATTTTTTTAAATAATGTATATTTTAATCAAAGGACTGGCCGCTTTCCTTTGAAATTTGTTCTTTGTAAAATTTTAAAGCTGATTTCCACATTTCTTTCAAAAAAACTGCACTGAAATCAGACAGTGATGATTTTATTGAAAGTATGATCTTTATTATAAAAATATGAAACTTACTCAGCAACTAAAATAATAAAACTCGAGTTTTTATTAAAATGTTTTTTCTTTTAAATAAAATATTTGCGAATTAAAACAACTATGATTTATTTTTCTGTGTTTTATTTCTTTTTTTTTGTGTTTTGCTTTGAATCAAAAGCCAAAATATTTCTCAATTTACAAACCAACAAATCATTGCAATTTGCAAAGTCAATAAAATTCTGATTTTCCCCCACTATTTTTTTTGTAAATGACTTTTTGTATATGGCTTACCTTATGAATAAGCCTCTGGTTGAAAAAACTCAGCGCTAAAAGTTATAGCTTGTTTTTTGGATAGATTCAATTTTTTGTTATCATCTAACAAAAAATATATTTTCGACGACACAGAAAACCTTCGTTAAATATTCTATTTTTTTGTGAAAAAAATGGTGTCTGGATTAAATTATAGACAAAAAAATTTATGTGGAAATCCTTTGTTTGACTATTGGATTGAATTGGCGAATAAAATCAAAAGACCTAAGCAAAAATTTTTATGCCCAGATTAGGGATTTTTGAGTAGAAAAACACTACCATGCAATTTTTGTGTTCATATAATTTCATTTTCTTGCTATTGTTTTTTCTATTTTTCTCATACAAATCCAGAACTGGGCAAAAAAATTTTTTTTTCTGTATTGTAAAGTTTTTCGCTAGCTCAATTCTATTTTCAAACAAACAGTACCCTCAAAAAATATCTTTCGATAAGTACGACTTGTTTTAAATGATTACATGTATAAGCCTGTATATTTCCAAAAACGGGTCAATTTTTAAAACCACTGAGCTTTTCGTTTGAGGGGCTATAAAGTCATTATTAAATTCAAATTATAATCACTTGAAATCGCATAAAAAATCACATATTTTTCTATCAAATTCGGTGTTGACTCCAAATCGCAATGTTTTGCAATGTCTTTACTTTTAATGCCGTTCAAAAAACGTTTAATTAAAATTTTGCTGTTGTGTGTTAAGGCAGGACACTATTAGATATGCCGAAACAACAATTTATTATATTTGTGTTCATGAGTGCAATTTTTTTAATGTACTATACCAAGTTGGGAAAAAGCACTAGCGATGTAACTCTTTTAATGAGAAACATGCTACTCTTGCTAAATTTTCCGATTTTTTTTCTAATTAAAAGCATATGGAAAGCTTGAGCACCTAAAGTTACTCTTCTTAATCGAATAACTTTTGTTCTTTGTAAATTTATGAGAAAATAATGCAGCTGCATTCAAATATATAATAGAAACATTGAAAGAATTTAGTGCATCAACTTTTTCAAAACAACTCAAGTTTTATTGGGTTCCCGCACCGAAGTTTCTCGGATAAAAATAGATTATATTGAGAAAATGTTGCCGAAAATATTGCCATTATAATCGATTATGTGTAACCAATTTAAGCAACATTTTCTATTATAATAGAAAGAAAATAGATTATTTTCATCAAGAATATATTGCCTTGTAATTCCACTAAAATGTATTTTTATCTCCATATAATCTCAATAAAATCTATTTTTTTGCCCTGAAACCGCCATGAAATCGCAATAAAATCGATTGTTTTTGCCATAAAATTGCAATAAAATCTATTGTTTTTGCCATAAAATTGCAATAAAATCTATTGTTTCCGCCATAAAACTGCCATAAAATCGCAACAAAAACTATTGCTATTGCCATAAAATTGCAATAAAATCGATTATGTTGTCAAAAAATTTAACTATATTGTCAGAAAAATTAATTTTTCTCTTCTGAAAAGCGTGCTATATGAAAACTCAAAGCAAAAGTTGAATTCAAACCAAACGACACAAATCACGAAAATCATCAAAATGAACAAGATTTTCGGCACAAAAAATATGCAACAAAAATACAAAATATCATCATTGTAAATCAGATTTTGTGCAAAAACATATGTAAAAATTCAAGAATTTTGTAAATATAAACCAGATTTGAGCTCGAAAATATGCAATGAAATCATAGTAAATCATTATTGTAAATCAGATCTTGGGCAAAAAATTTACAAAACAAATGATTAAATGGGTCAATACAAATCACATTTTGAGCTCGAAAATATGCAACAAAGATGTAGAAAATCATCATTGTAAATCAGATGAAAAAAGCGAATTTAATATAGCTGCTGTGAACCAAACTGCAAATCCCTAGTTATGTTTGTTTATAAAAAAATGCAACTGTCAAGACCATAATTTTCAATCTGATCAAACCTGTTTTCCATAAAAAAAATTGCTCAAATTTAAACTTAGTGCACTCGCGGCGATTGTTTTTGGTTAGAAAATCAAAATCAAGCCATTAAATTGGCGCTCAATTACTTTTCAATTTTCCCCATTTGAGACTCAACAGTAGCTTTTTTTATTTCGATTTTCTATACAAGGGAAATTATTGTGATTCTGCTGATGAAAGTTTGTTTTTTGCTTTGTCGTGCAAAAAAAGACCCACGATTTGACTATGGGCACAAACAGTTTTTTCCGCCATCCATAGATGTCAAATTGCCAGTTATAAAACTAGCTTTCGAACTGGCCAGAAAGCATATACAATCTGCACATTCGTCCACTGTTCCGATGCGTCCCAACGGATGTGTTTTGGCGCCTTCTTCTAAAAACGCTGCATAATCCTTGTCCAATATCCCAGCTCTACCGAAAATAGCTGTGTCAATCATTCCTGGATTCACTGAATTCACTCGAACATTGTCAGCAGCTAGTTCTAGCGCAAGACATTTTGTGTACATATCTAACGCAGCTTTGGACATGCAGTAGTTTCCTACACCGGAGAACGAATTAAGTCCGCCAATTGATGAAACATTTACAACAGACCCTTTACTTTTTCGGAGATGAGGGATGCAAAATTTTGTAAGCATTACAGCAGATCGAACGTTGGTGTTCATTGTTCGATCAAATTGTTCAAAAGGGGTTTCTTCTTGCATTCCAAAAGTTAAAACACCCGCGTTGTTGACAACGATGTCAATTCGTTTGAAAACTTCGGCTGTTGTGTTAACAATGTTAGAACATGTAGCTTCCTGTGTAATATCTCCTGAAAGTCTTTGAAATTATTTGACGCACAACAAAAACAACTGGTGTAACTGGTAAACCCATTTTTTGATAAAATTAAGAAATGATCAAAAGCATGGTTTTGTTTTCTTCTCATACTTATTTTGTCCTTAAGAAAATTGACCGATTGATATTTATAAATTTACTCCGAACATCTTGAAGATAACAAACGAAACAAAAAAACGTACATTATACGCCTCACCTGCAACTACTATTACGTTTTCTTTCTTCATTCTGCCATTTGATCCATCGACGCATCGTTGCTTGATGTTATTGAGTGCTTCTTCATTGCGACCAGTTATACACAAGCCACTTACTCGATGCTCCGCAAACTTAATAGCAGTTTGAGCTCCAATTCCTGAACTGGCTCCAGAAATGGGGTGCCGGACATCAAGCCGACGGGACTTCAAGCCGAATCGTAAAACTAGGGACTTCAAGCCGAATAGTTCCTTATAAAATCGTGAAATATGATTAATTTGAAAACTTTTTTGAAGAATTTCTGAAGTTCATGATTTTTCTTCACAAGTTATTGGCGTTTTCATAAAATTTAAGCCTCCAAATGATGTTTCGGAAAGTTGAAAAGTAAAACATGGTTGAAGGCATTTTTCATGTTTATAATTTATGCATTTCAAAAACCGGCTGATGTTATGTACGGATGCCAATCACAAGTGGTGCATTGTCATGAATTACGTTTATTATAGACTAAACTTGCCAAAATTTTTGAAAAATAACGTTTTACAGATGATAAAATAGTGTTTTGAGGTGCTTGTAAAGTTTTAATTTCGGCTTGAAGTCCCTTCGGCTTGAAGTCCCGTCGGCTTGTTGTCCTAGACCCCCAGAAATGATGACAATCTCGCCGTTTGTAAAATAGCGATTCATTATGCAATCTGAAATTTAATTGTAATTGATACAAATTTCAAAATAAACAACCTGATGAAATTTCAATACTTTTAAAAATGTAAGTTTATATGTTAACAAGACTGCTTGTATCAGGACGAAGCCCTGAATGTTCCGACTGCCTTTTAAGGTATATTGAGCAGCAGTAATACATAAAAAAAATTAAATGAAATAAAATAAAATGAAATTTTTTCTTTCTAAAAATTGAATTTTTTAAATGCAAATCATCCCCCCACACGCCATATAAAGTACAAAAAGATAAATTTTGATCCTTGTAACAAATCAATAATAGCAAATCAGCTTCGTTCAACCAATTTGGAACGATTTATAAGACGGATTAAATCTCGCTTACGCGTTAATAGCGCGAATTATATTGCGCGTTAATTGTCCCAAATTGGTCAAAATGGCAATATTTAAACCCTCATAACTTTACGAAAAATGATCACAGGTAAAATATCTTTTCAAATTTAAGCTCAGGGCAACAATACCTTTTGAATGATATAAAAAAAAATCCTTCAAAAATGGCTAGTTAAAAAGTCGAAATTTGTCTGAAGAAAAAAAACCCACCCCGAGCACAAATATTCCGTTACTTTCGTATCGAAAGTCGGAACAATAAGGAAGAATTTCCGATACGATAGCCTTGCTTTGCTTAACTGGCAAAAATATCGAATTCTGTCACAATAAAATTTACATATAATTTGAACAACAACAAGACTGCTCGTATCAGGGCGAAGCCCTGAATGTTCCGACTGCCTTTTAAGGTTTATGGAGCAGCAGTATTAACATAAAAAAAATAAATGAAATCAAATTAAAATATAAATTTTTTAAATAAAATTTGACATTTTTTTTTGAAATTCATCCCCCCACACACCATATAAAGTACAAAAAGATAGATTTCGTTCCTTGTAACAAATCAATGATGGCAAATAAGCTTCGTTCAACCAATTTGGAACGATTTATAAGACGGATTAAATCTCCGCTTACGCGTTAATAGCGCGAATTATATCGCGCGCTAATTGTCCCAAATTGGTCAAAATGGCCAAAATGGTAATTTTTAACCCTCATAATTTTACAAAAATCGATCACAGGTGAAATATCTTTTCAAGAAAACAAAGAAAACAGCTCCATGGAACCATTCCAACTTCGTATCTGCTCAAAATTCGGCCTTGTTAGAAATCGGCTTGCGAATAAAGTAATCGCATTTGTATTAACCAAATTAACCAGTGCTATCAGTATGTTGTTCTGAGCATTTTTACATTGAATATTACAAGATCGTAAGCTTAAAAAATTTGGGCGGAATAAGTAAAAAGACTCCCTTTTTGTATTTTTACACAAAACAGTATTAAAAAAAATTGTTTTTCAGTTTAACATGTTCAAACTGAAAAATAGCAGAAAAGTAAAATAAGATGAACTACAAAGAAGTAATTTTAAACTTTCCATAGCAACTTAGCGTTTGCTTTCAAAGTTGTAAACAAGTCACGCGGATTTCCGTATCGATTTGTCAAATATTTACTAAATCGGTCTTGAACAGTGCCTCTAAATGTTAGGCAATCAAACTCAAGTTAAACGGTCAGGCCTTCCGATCAACCTTTCCAGCAGATAAAAATATTAGCCGAAATTTCCGAAAAGATGGAACTTTGTAAACTAATCAAATTAATTTTGACTTAAACCTTGCCCAGACAAGGAAAACTTAATAAAATGGCTCGACAAAAAAATTCAAATTAATAATTCGGCTAATAGTTTTATCTGCTTGAAACGGCAGAATTATTTCATTTGAAATGGCAGAAAACTTCGATGGGACTTGATTGGCTAATTAGCCAATTAAATTCAACCACAATTATTTCAGTTCAAGAGATGTAGAAATAATGATTTTGGGCCGTTTAATGCATAATACCCCATGTGTCTAACAGAAAAACATTCAGCGGAGTTTTGTCAACACGGAGTTTGAAGGTCAAAATTAAAACGGGTTCAGGCTACCAATTTGTATATTGAACGCATTTCATTGAAATTTATTTTTAGGATTTCAATTATAAAAATCATATTGATGACTTGAAACGCTTATTTGTAGTAAATTTGATCTCAAACTTAGCAACTTTCGTTGAAATTAAAATTTGTTTTCAAGTCAAAATAGATCAAATTTGTTCACGTTTTTTTTGGCAATCGTCAATAAAAACTGTCGCCAGCGTTCAAATGAGATATCGTTTTTCAAGTCTTTCTGTTTTTTTTTTAAATATCTTTTCCTTTCCAATAAATTGTTAACAACGGTAATTTGGCAATGAAAACTTTTATTGCACTCAAATGAAAGCTGCAATTTAAAGAAGTTTAAAAAGATCTTCAGAAAAGCTAACTGAGACAAGCCCCAGTATTCTTTGCCTTATTTTTCAACGTCATTTTATGAACATGTTTTATGGTTGATCGGACCGCTCAAAAACCTCTTTCTTTTATAAACATCTTCGTGGTATATTCATTGAAAAGCAATATTTAAGAAAAAAGTCTAATTGCTCATTAATCATTCAGTTTAACTTTTAGACGCTTAAAATTAAAAAACAAACTTCGAAATTCTAATTTTGAGGAAAAGTTTGGCGGAAAAAATGCGAGAGATAATCAATAAAAAATATTGACATGATATATCAGAAAAAAAGAAGAACATGAAAGAACTTAATATATAGCACTAGCTGCTGTTAAGTAAATCAATTTCAGAGTTGACTGTACGGCGAACTAGTTAAAGTAGCTGGATAACTCTCTGTAAAAAGAATTCAGATATCTGATTAATAATAACGCAGTCTCAATTTCATTCATCATAATTATTAAGGCTCAGGGGTGGTCGAGGGCAGTTGCCAATCCAACAGCAAAAGTCTACTGTTCTATGATTGACAGGTTACAAGAGTGTACTTCGAATGAATTGAATAAAAATATTCCTGATGTTAACATGTGAAATCTCTCTTGCTTGTGTGATGCCCTTTCCAAAGTGAAATAAATTTTCAGGAGTTGATTCAATGTCTTTAGTACTCTATGAAATTTATCAAATACTCCTCCTGTTCAGCCTGTTGTATCTCATCCGGTAAGACCCACGGCATCCAAAGTTTAGCTTACAAATCAGGGGCGGATTTAGGGGGGGGGGGGCGTTTGGGGGGCGGACCAATTGATTTTTCGAGCTCTCCCAAAGCACGGTTTTGACCCTATTTCGGCCAAATTTTTGGCCGAAATAGGGACAAAACCGTGCTTTGGGAGAGCTCGAAAAATCAATTTGGTCGACCTAAAAAAAAGGTCGTCAAAATTTTCGAAAATTTTTTGAAAATCCGCCCCCCACCCCTCGAGAAAATCCTAGATCCGCCCCTGTTACAAATTACGAAAACTGTATTCAGGGCATTCCCGAAAGCTTAAATCAAAACAACTAAGAAACTCGAAGACAAATCAAATTTAGTATTCGATGTGTTTTAATGAATAGCCGATGTGTTTTAATGAATAGCATCGAATTCTTCATTTTGTCATTGAGTTTTTCAAAACACTGGCAAGGTCAAAACATTTTATGCAAAACTTAAAAGTGCCATTGCCGCATTGAACTCCAAAGGATTTGGCCAAAAGTGTTGAGAAAAACCTACTTATCAAAATTTTATCGGACCATGACATTTGTTTCAAGGTTGTTGAAAAAGCCTGGCCATGACCTCGAAAGAACTCTTGTGATTAAATGGCTTAAAATTATCAAACCTGGACAAGAGTCGCATTGCAAAAGTTCGAATCTCTTTTTAATTGATGCGTAGATTCTAGCATATGCTAATATGCTACTACAGACTGAAAACATTCTGATTTTTTTCCTTGATGTCAAAATTCTGGTTTCCTGTTTAAATTGTGGTTCTTTTACGCCGCTAAATATTGATTGACTAGCTCTACAAGCACTTGAAGAGATTTTATACTACCGATTACGTTGTTGCTGCACATACAAATAGATCTTGTGGTTATCATTGAAGTTCTTCCAAAGCAACCATGTCACCTTTGACTTCTTTCAAGACAAATATTACAACAGTTTTATGTAAATTTAAAATTGGGTGTGGTGATTTTTTTCTAATATATACTTCCTCGTTTGAGCTTTTCGACTACTGTCACTATACAAATGATTGTATATATACTCCTACAGCAGCATCGTCGCTTAGACTACCATTTTAGGAAAACTTCAAGTACTTGTTTTCGTTACATTCTGTTTATATAACGTGATCAAATTTTTTTCCGTAAAAACAATTCTTTCTTAGCGGTGAACTCGATTTAAATTTTTTGCCTTAAAAACAATTCTTTCTTAGCGGTGAACTCGATTTAACGAATTATGATTAATTTTTAAATT